ACAAATGGGAGCAATGTGCCATGCTCCTTTCTCATAATAATGTGAAGACAGACAGACAGACAGATAGAATTATCTATATATAGATTATATCATATTATATAGACACACTCACACACACCACACATAAATGTATCATTTACTCTTGCTTGAGTAACATTTGCTAAAAACCGCAGAGCACATCTGTTTTTTGGAAGTCATGTCGTTAAATGCACAGTTGGAAGAAAAAGCGTGCTAACCCTTTGGGAAAAAAGTAACTTAGGCTTTCAGCACTTCTACAAAAACAAGGACAGATCTTCATCTAAACCCCAATATATAAAAGAAAAAAAATAAACAGTTTTACATTTTATGTTCTAATGCAGTCAGAGGGATTATTACCTATGCATAGGTAATAATCCCTCTGACTGCATTCCTTTATCAGCAGTGACTCCTGTCAGATGTTTCCTCGAACTGCTTATGAGACCAGCACAGTATTAAGGAGGAATTCAGGACTGCTCCTCACTACATAACTGGTTTGAGTTCATCAGTAATTCTGAGATGACTTGAGTGGACGCTTTAGGTCATGCCACAGCATCTCAGTTGGGTTAAGGTCAGGACTCTGACTCGGCTATCTCAAAGCATAAATTTTGTTCTTTTTCAGCGATTCTGATACTTAATTTACTTGTGTGCTCTTCGTCAGTGTCTTATTCCATCAGTAAATCTCTCCAAAGCTTAAAGTAATTGACTTTTGCCCTGATACTACAGTTCAAAACTTCTTCACACAATTTTAAATTCATTGTTTCCCCATGGATTGCCAAGAGGCCAGGCCTAATTCCAAACTTACAACATGCTCTTTTCTTCTTCTTGTCCTTTCCTCATTGTTATGCAGTATTTTTCTCACAGTGGATAAAAAAAAAGTCAGATTTGAGGGAGCTGCAGATGTCCCACTTTTGCTGTCTGACTTCTGTTCTTTTTCACTTCTTTCAGGGCTTCGTGTTGAGTTCGTTTGTGTGATCTTTGCAGGCCAGCCACTCTTGGGAGCACAGCAGCCCTACATACCTCCACTTTGAATCAAATTGTCCTTTTGCACCTCGATGAACACTCATAAAAAAGCATTTAACTTTTTTTTTTCTAGCCACCTTTGTCCATCTCTACAATGCACAATGCTTCTTCTGTCCTGTGAGTCAAAGTTGTTGTGATCTAGGAAAGGGTCACACATGTCAGTCTTGAAAAAAAGCAACCAGACTTCACCTCTACAAGCGACACTTCCAGTCGGATCTCCCGATCTCTTAGAACGGCTGATTCCAAGTAGTTTTTGGAGAGCTCATGAGCACTTTTAGCAATTCTTGACTGCAAGTGTTCAAGAACAACATAAAGCACACTTTTATTTGTTTCATCAGATATTGTTTGTCTATAAATCTGAGCTATTATTGTCAAAATGTTACAACCCTTTCCTTTCCTTTGTAACTGCGATTCAAAAATGAATGGACTAACCCTCGGGTGCTCGGGATCCTTCCATTAGATTCCTTGACAGTGGCAACAAACGGTAGAATATCACTAGCCTTATCCTTTAAACAAATAAAGCACATATAAGCCTCCCTATAATGTGTGGATGTGTGATAATAGGCAAAGACACTTTTCACACCACACTTTCCACCACTCTGTGAGCACCACACAAAATGAAAGCCGTGTCAGAGTACGTACTGATAAGAACCTGATGCTGACAGGACCCCCATGCAATCTCCCCCAAACCCCTATCACCTGAGATGCTTGAGTGGGTTGGATGCATATATACTGTGACGTCCAATAACATTTCACTCGGTCCCTCCTCTCAGTACTGTCTGTATATATGACTATGTCTTTTCATATAGCACCACAAGTGGCTCAAAAGTGCAGGATTGGTATTTTCAGCATGAAAGGAGGGTTGTGTAATATATAGATGGCTTTGGCAAAAGTGCCCGGAATGAGTATTATCATTAGGCACTGCCACTGTGAATTCCTCAGACACCCCATGAAACCCACATAATTACACAGTGCTCATACTGATCTGCCATATTCTCACAGCACCCACAGCAGCACTGCATGTTCTCTCACAGCTAATTACCGAACCTCTCTGAATCAGGTGCACGTTGCCGCTCCTCCCGGCGTCTCACTTCAGGGTAATGATTGCTTTATGTTTCAGGTAGCTGACTTACTGTATAGCCGCAGCTAACTGTAACGCTCTACAGGTAGGTGCGCTGAGGGTGAAGGAGAAAGCACTTTCCTGAGTGATGAAAGACTTCTCAAACAGCTTTCCTCCTCAATTGAACTGAAGCGCATAGGCTTTCTCCGTCTTTGAACCAAAAGACTGCATTATATACAGTAAGTGACACGTAGCTCATGATAAATAAATCTGCATTGCAACTTTGATCTTATCTTTGAAGCCTTGCCAATTATTTCTCATATAGTGAAATATCAAAGAAAATCATTGCACTTATCAAATAAACCACTGTGATCTAGAAAGCAGGTAAGCAAGCAAAAAGGTTATCTGGTGGGGAAAATTGAAGGTTTCTGAGAAAATCTACTACCTCTAAAATATATTTTCATTTTAGATTGGCTGCAAACAGACACCCCACTGGCACGCTACATTTTTGTGTTTTTTCAGAAATGACTTTGACAGGTTAGGTGTTATTATTACTGATAGCAATGATTGTCAAAATACAAAAATAGGGCCACGATGCTTAAAAAGAAAGAAAGAAAAGAAGCTGGGATTGTACTTTATCGCTGACATTTAATTCAGCACAGTCAGTGAAAGTGGATCATTTTAACTCAACTGTCAACTGCTGTTTTCAAAGGTAAGATAAACTGTCAAGCTGCAAACCGCCTCAAAGAAGACGATTAGCTGCTATAAGTTAGAAAACTGGGCAGCACAGGCGATAAACATAAACAGTGCTGCTAAATGTATTAAGCTTTTAAAACAGTGTTCTTTGTAATGGTGATTAATCACAAACGGGTGAAAGTTTTGAACATTTTACACTATTTTCATCTACTCCTTTGGCTCGTCTTCCACTTTCTTATCTCCAGATTTGCATGCACCTTTCATCTTAGATTATGAAAGATGATCTGAAAGTACCAGTGAAGTCTCTCTGCCATCTCATTTATTCTGATTCAGAGGCTTTGCCAAAAGCAGTTCTCCCTCTCTAAATATAGTTGAAATCATCAATGCAGAAAGCAGACTACAGATCTGAGCTATTAGTACTCGTGTATGTTACCATGAGCATGTCACTGGTGACCGAGTTGGCCAAGTCAGAAACAGAAGAGTTGGCTTCGTGGCCCTGCCCGTGGCGGCGTCCGGTCTCGTCTGGAGTCTGACCTCTGGGGCTGCTGCCTGGTTTGTTACCTGGAGTTCTGTTAAAACAGACACAAGCACAGTGATTTTTACACATATAGCTTGTTTCCAGTGTTCCTAAGTTTATCCTCAATACATGTAGTTTACATCCTCGGGCCAAATATTAATTATTTGTTTTGAAAATTTGTATTTAAGTGTAGCTAAGAACCAATATCCTACCAGACAGGCCACAGGAAGTCAATTATCATTACCTACAGCAAGAACCAATGCAATGAAAAGAACAGTTTTATAATGGCCTATGAAGGGAGAGAATTCACTGTCAATACAGATAACACAAGAAACCAATAAAACTGGATTGAAAAAACTGTCTAATTTAAAGGGCTTACCCTGATTTGAGTCACGGTTTGTGTTATAAGTTGGTTTGCATGTGTGTGTTTCATTATTACACCATGAAAATGTAAAGATTTGTGGCCTCAAGATCCTAATAAACCAAAGTAAGGTAAGGTAAACTTCCTGGCTTACATTACCCAATTACTCTTGTTTCCTTGCTGTTCCACTTCAGATTTTCCAGGTATTTCCTTGTGCGTTTTTCCTAATCTTTCCCTTTAAGTAACCTTTTGAACTAGTTTTTGGGGTTTTTTTGCCCACCTCATGTGGCAGTCTGCTTGCATAGATTAAAGATTTGGATCTTTGAATTGTAATTCTGTCTCGTGGGTCCTTTTCCCATTACATTAGTTTCAAATAACGTCAATCTTCCTGCCAGCATACAGTGACATTAGGCAATAATATGTTTGCAGCAACTACTGGATGGAAAATTACACTGCCCCTGTAAATAACGACAAATATCAGTGGACACTTTAGTAACACCTGGCTGCTACTGTTTTGGACTCCTTTTTACATTCACAGCTGCATGAATTCTTCATTGCAAAGATTCAACAAGGTGCTGCAAACAGCCCTCAGAGATTTTGGTCCATGTTGACATGATAGCATCACACAGATGTTGCAGATTTGATGGCTGCAGATCAATAATGTGAATAATTGCGCTGTGATCCAGTGACTATGGAGGAGGAGACCTCAGCTTTGAGCTTTTTGAATGGTATGTTTTCTTGATGGAAGCAGCCTTTAGAAGATGGATACACTGTGGTCATAAGGGGATGGACACAGTCAGCAGCAATAGTCAGCTGGACCGCCATTCGATCTGTGCTCAGTTTGTACTAAGGGGTCCAAAGTGTGCCAAGAAAATATCTCCCACACCATTACATCACCACCATCAGCCCTAATCTTTGATACAAACCAGGATCCATGCTTTCATGTTATTTATTTCAAATTCTGTCACTGCCATCTGAATGTTGCAGCAGAGCGCTGTCATCACCCAGAGAACAGCTGCTCACTGGATATTTTGTGTTTTTCTGAGATGGTTGTGTGGGCAAACCCCAATCTGGCACCAACAGCCATGCAACACTCAAAGTCAAAGTCCTAAATGCACTGAGTTGTGATTGGCTGAGAAAATGCAGTGAAACAGGTGTACCTAACACAATGTCTGATAACTGACAAGTGAAAACAGTCAACCACGTGCAGTAACAGACTCTCACACTGGTATATTAATAACTGTTTCCTTTTTAAAAAAAAAAAATCAATTTAATTGTTTCTCCTCTCTCCCCTATTTTGGGATTGGTCATGTCTCCCTGAGACTGGTTCTGCTGGAGGTTTCCTCCTGGTGAAAGTAAGAATTTTTTCTTCTCACCACAGCACAGTGCTTGCTCACAGGGAATCGTCTTATTGTTGTGGTTTCCTCCTGAATACCGTAGGGTTTTTACCTTGCAGTATAAAGAACCTCGAGGCAGCTGTTGTTGTGATGTTGCGCCACATAAATACCTCTGAACTGAACATATTACAGTGATCCAGATACTTTTTTGTATTTAAGTTGCTCAGGTAGCATAGGTTGTAATAAAATTGCATCAAAAAGACATTAAAGCAGTCATGGCCAATTTCTTGCAGTGGTTGACTATTAATATATATATAAATTAAAAACGCTCCAAGATAAACATACACCAGTGCAAAACTTTCTCAGACACCACCTGTCACTTTAGACACTTTGAAGACGATCTGTACAGAAAACTATTTTTAGAAACAAATGCTGCTTTTAACGATGCTGCTAAAAAATTGTTCCCAGCTTTTTCATTATGTAACTATTTGGGATACAGAAAAATACAAACATGTGATACCAGTCTAGGCATAGTGACAAATAACACTAATAAGATGATGCAGCGAGAAAAACAAAAAATAGCGCGAGTGACAGTCAGACAGACAGAAATAGCGAGCGAGTGAGCAGGTGAGATACTAAATACAAAGGTAACAGCGCAAGTTAGATTAAAAGAAGGGAAAGATGATCCACGAGATGAGATAAATTAGAGTAAAAGCAAAGGAGATGATTTATTTTTATTGAGACAATGAACGAATGAATGTGAGACACAGTTAGACACACATTAAGCTTTAGCTCAGAGAAGGGGAGATGGGATAAAAGCTCTGAAACAAAGCAGAACAGAATTGGCGAGGAGAGTCAGACACGCTAAAAAGCAGACAGAGGAAGCAAACTGACGTGTAACACAGGAAAGCAAAATAGAAGGAGGCTGGAGAAAGAGGGGTGAGAGATAGACAGGGGTTACACAGCAAAGAGACAAGCAGAAGTAGAACGATGCTGAACAAGAAGAGGTAAAAAAAGAAAAGGATATGGTGGGGAAGAGAAAAGAATGGATTCGTCACTCCGCGTTTATTTCCTGTGATTTGCAGGTCATAGAGCCAACGATGCACCACAGCCTCAATTCAAACTGTAATGGTTTATGTTCCACAGGTCTGTCAAATGCAGATTAGTCTCACATGCATGTGATCCCTGCAGGTTAAGCTAAAAATACTCAATTGAACCTTTTAATATCAACCCTTAATACGTTAGGGAACCATGTCCCACCTTAAATAATTACATAACACCTGGATGTCTCGCTCTGCCACTGATGTGACTCTCACCGGCACAGTGTGTGGTCTGTGTTTTACACATTGTTAATGTTTCACCACTAATACATCTAAAGTTTGTACAGCAGCTGATCAGCTCACAAAGCACAACTTAACACACAATTTTTTTTACAAAGCAAAGAGATGAGTTAAATGGAAAACCTGACATTCTCACGAGACCTACCATATTTGAACAAGTTCCCGCAGAGCCAGGTACCTGCTGAGCTTTGAAGGACCAAACAGTGAGAATAAATGGTTCACATCGTTAACAGAGTTCATAGAGAGGACAGAGGGTACCTTGACACAGACACAAGACTTGTAATTGTGCTGTGGTGGTGGAGTAGTTAGTGCCATTGCCTAGGAGCCTAACATGGAATTGTGGGTGGGCCTAAGGGGCCCGACTGATCATACTTATCAGTGATGGGAATAACGGCGTTACTTTTTTTCAGTAACGAGTAATCTAACTAATTACTATTTCTATCGTTACAACGCCGTTACCGTTACTAACAAGCAGAGCTGGACCGGCCATCGGGCATACCGGGCATTTGCCCGGTGGGCTGATGGTGATTTTTTGTTTTTATGGGCCGATGGGTGTTTTTTCTTTGTTTTTGTTTTTTGTAACGGTATAAACAATGAAAGATGGTGGATTGGCCAGATGCTGGCCGATGTGTAAAAATAACTCAGTTGTTTGGTGGTGGCTATGGTGGAGCTTCCACAGAGGCCAGCAGGTGGATGAGAGAAAGGGGAGGCAGGAGGAGGAGAGACCCGAGGCGGCCTCCGGTCCGAGTGTCAGGTGAACTGAACTTCAGGTAGGAAGTTATGACCTACAGTCTATATGGGTCAGATATAAACCAAGGTTAGGTGTAGTTTATTATTTGTGCTAACTTTTTACAGTCAGTTACAATAACTCTAGCTAGCGTGACGGAGTTTCTATACAGCTGGGTGGGTGCTATGATGTTACTGATAGTGAACTTATTCATAAGGTTAGTTAGTAGAGTTGCCAACTGTCCCGTAAAAAATGGAATTGTCCCGTATTCAGAGAAAATATTACGCGTTTTGTGTTGAGGTGAAAAGGAACAGTTTGTCCCGTAATTCAGCTACAATGAAAAAGGCACAAAGCTGGAGTTATTCTGTGTCTTTGCTGCACAGCTGCCTCTTCTTCTCTCATTCTCTCCCCTCTCTCTCCTGTTGCTACTTCAATCATGAAACTGATCAATGATCAGCTGATCGGCTCTCTTGTTTGTTTATCGCCCACTTTGCGCCAGAAACAGGAAACCAGCAGATGTTGCGCTAAACAACAGCAGCGCGTTTAAGCTTGATCGGCTGTTGTTAGAATTTATTTAATACTAATTTCTAGTATCAGCTGATGTTTGCTGGAGCCACAGCTGGAAAAGCTGCTGGTCATGATATCGGTTTGGTTATGTGATGAGAGGGAAACATGAAGATGAAACCAGGAGATGTCCTTACTGAATCATCAGAGCTGAACAGGTGATGGAGAAACAGGTTTACCCTTTAGGTGACATGAATGAGTTGAAGGGAAGTTATGAGCTGTTGCTGAGAGACAAATAACCCCAGGATCCTTTTCTACGTAGCTGACAGCTGGTAACTGTGCAGGGGCGGGTGTAGCAAAGTTTTGCCAGGGGGCCAGGTAGGGCATTAACAGGGAAAGGGGGGCACAAAGAAATACTTTTCTTTCTTATCTCATTTAAAATGTCTAGTTTTTAATAAGTAATTATCTGGATCTTCAAACCAAAGTTTTTATCTGATACAAAATCTATAGACATCATACATATACCAACAAGACAGTGTACATCACTGTCACAACAGTTTTTGTTTTCATTCTAAGGCTTTATGGCTTTTTCTATAATACCTGGCGGGCCGGTCTCAAAATGCCCGGCCAATTTTTTGTCCCAGTCCAGCCCTGCTAACAACAAAATGCGGTGCAGTCACGTTACTATTTTTCAACAAACAGATGGTTGAAGCTGTGTTCAGCTTACCACATCTTATATCAGTTGCACGGAAGTAGCTGTCTACGTAAGTAATGTGGGCACTA